CTATAGGATCACTATGAGTTGGAATTGACTCAACAGCAATGGGTTTTTGTTTTTTTGGTTTGACAGCATTGTACTTCAGGATAGATCTTGAAATGTTCTTTTTGATGATGAATGCAATGCCATTCCTCTTCAATTTGTCACTGTTGACATAGTAGACCATATGATTGTCTGATTCATAATGGCCAATACCAGTCCATTTCAGCTCACTAATACCTAGGATATCGATCTTCAGGCATTCCATTTCATTTTTGATGACTTCCAATTTTCCTAGATTCATATTCGTACATTCCACATTGCTAATATTAATGGATGTTTGCAGCTGTTTCTTCTCATTTTGAGTCATGCCACATCAGCAAATGAAGGTCCTGAAAGCTAGATTCCATCCGTGTCATTAAGGTCAACTCTACTTTGAGGAGGCAACTCCTTCCAGTCGTATTTTGAGTGCCTTCCAACTTGAGGGGCTCATCTTCCAGCACTATATCAGACAATGTTCCACTGTATTCATACGGTTTTCACTGGCTAGATTTTCTAAGAAGTAAGCTGCCAGGTGTTTCTTCCTAGTCTGTCTTAGTCTGGAAGCTCTATTGAAATATGTCCGCCATGGGTGACCCTGCTGGTGTTTGAATACTGGTGGCATAGCTTCCAGCATCACAACAAAATGTAAGCCCCCACAGTATGACGAACTGACAGACAGGTGGAGAATTTTTGCCCATAGAATCTTTTCAAATTGCAACTCAAGTCTTGAATTTTTTCTTCAGTTCTTTCAGCTTGAGACATGCCAAGCATATTCTTCCCTTTTGGTTTTCTAACTTTACTTTGTCTTCTCCAGCCACAGTTTGAAATCTTCACTTCAGCTCTTTTACTTCATCATTTCTTCCATTCACTTTAGCTACTCTACGTTCAAGAGCAACTTTCAGAGTCTCTTCTGACATCCATTTTGGTCTTTTCTTTCTTTTTAATGACCTTTTGCTTTCTTCATATATGATGTCCTTGATGTCATCCCACAACTCGTCTGGTCTTTGGTCATTAGTGTTCAATGTATCAAATCTATTCTTGAGATCATCTCCAAATTCAGGTAGAATACATTCAAGGTCATATTTTGGCTCTCATGGACTTGTCCTAATTTTCTTCAGTTTCAACTTGCACTAGCATATGATCAGTTGATAGTCTGTTCTGCAGTCGGCCCCTGGCCTTGTTCTGACTGATGATACTGAGCTTTTCCATCATTTCTTTCCACAGATGTAGTCGATTTGATTCCTATGTTTTCCATCTTGGGAGGTCCATGTGCATAGTCACTGTTTTTATGTTGTTGCAAAAAGGTATTTGCAATGAAGAAATTGTTGGTCTTGCAAAATTCTATCATGCAATCTCCAGCATTGTTTCTATCACCAAAGCCATATTTTCCAACTACTGCTCCTTCGTTTCCAACTTTCACATTTCAATCAACAGTAATTATCAATGCATCCTGATTGCATGTTCTATCAATTTCAGATTGCAGAAGTTGGTAAAAATCTTCAATTTCTTCATCTTTGGCCTTATTGGTTGGTGTGTAAATTTGAATAATAGTTGTATTAACTGGTCTTCCTTGTAGGCATGTAGATATTATCCTATCACTGACAGTGCTGTACATCAGGATAGATCTTGAAATGTTTTTTGATGATTAATGTGATGCCATTGCTCTTCAATTTGTCATTCCCAACACAGTAGACCATATGATTGTCCAATTCAAAATGGCCAATACCAGTCCATTTCAGCTCACTAATGCCTAGGATATCGATCTTCAAGCATTCCATTTCATTTTTGATGACTTCCAGTTTTCCTAGATTCATACTTCATATGTTCCACATTCTGATTGTTAATGAATGTTTGCAGCTGTTATCTCATTTTGAGTTGTGCCACATCAGCAAATGAAGGTCCTGAAAGCCTGACTCCATCCATGTCATTAAGGTCGACTGTACTTTGAGGAGGCAGCCCTTCCCTAGTCATATTTTGAGTGCCTTCCAACCTGAGGGGCTCATCTTTCAGCACTATATCAGACAATGTACTGCTGCTATTCATAAGGTTTTCACTGGCCATTTTTTTCAGTAGACCACCAGGTCCTTCTTCCTAGTCTCTCTTAGTCTGGAAGCTCTGTTGAAACCTGTCCATCATGGGTGACCCTGCTGGTATTTGAAATACCAGTGGCGTAGCTTCCAGCATCACAGCAACACACAAGCCACCACAGTACAACAAACTGACAGACGTGTGGTGGCTTATAAAGTTACTTACCTGAAAATGCATGTGTGGACATAAAAACACTGCCATGTTTATATTCAATGTCAGGGGCTCCATGGAACCCCCTCTATGAGCTTTAGTGGTCCACGGACACCTGTGGCCGGCACACCTGCCCTTCCTCATCTCCAACCCACATGCCTGTGTTTTCTCCTCATGGACTGTCAGCTCCAGGAGGACAAGGGCCTCGCCTGTTGGGCTCGTTGCTGTACCAGCACCTAGAACAGCACCTGCAACTCTGAGGCAGGCAGTAAGCACCTGTGGAGTGAAGCATGGAGCTGGTTGCTTTCATATCTCCGTGCCTGCGCACCTGCTAGTCCTTCCTGTGGGAGTGACAGGTTCCTTTCTTCTTCTCCAACATACTCCTCCTTCACAACTCAGCTCAAGCTTCACCTCTTTCTGGAAGCTAGCTCTGATCTCCTAGGCCCTGCTCCTGTACTCCCCTAAAATGCTGTGTTTACCTCTATCAAAGTCCTCACCTCATGCTGATCTAGAAGCATCACTTTCATTGCCTGGCCCTCCCTATGAGATGGAAATTTCTTAGAAGCAGGAACTATGCTGTAGGTGATTCATATGCCTGCTACCTACTACAGTCCCTGACATGTCACCAGCCCGCAGTAAACATTTGTTGAATAAATGACAGGGAGTGGTGGGAAATGGAGCTGGAAAATATAAGCCGAGGTCAGTTCGGAATGACCTCTGCTAGGTCAGGGACTTCCAGTGTTGTGAGGTAATTGATGAGGAACTCCTGGAGTTTGTTTTCTTGTTTTGTTTTGGTTTTGTTTGTTTTTAATGAAGGAGAAAGCTATCATTAGGTTTGTGTGTTTAATGAATGGAAAGGCAAGACACCATAGGTAGGTAAAGCAGTTAGGAGGCCACTGTAAAAGTTCATATGAAAAAAAAAAATGCAGCGAAAGAAAAAAATTGAAGAAGGGGAGACATCTGAGACACATTTCCATGTCAGAGTCAACAGGACTTATCAACCTCCTTCCCCACTCCTAGAAGCAATCTCTTCCTGGACTCTGTTCTTAAAATGCATTGCTGGCTCCAAAAACTTCCAGATCAAGGTCAAACTGCTTAGCTCAGCACAGAGGGCCCTATATCAGGGGTTCTAACCCTAGAGGATCACAGATCCCTTTGAGTTGTTGTGTGCCATGGAGTCAATTTCAACTCACAGTGACCCTATAGGGCAGAGGAGAACTGCCCTATAGGGTTTCCTAGGCTGTAATCTTTATGGGAGCAGATCACCAGGTCTTTTCTCTCATGGAGCTGCTGGTGGGTTTGAACCGCCAACCTTTTGGTTAGTAGCTGAGCACTTAACCATTGTGCCACCAGGGCCCTTTGAGAATACAATGAAATGTTGTGCTGTTCCCCAGACACTACCCATCACATTGGATCTCAGGTGGGCTCCTAGCTAGAGTCTTTGCTTCTCAGCTTAGTGGTCAAGAGCCCTGGTTCTGGAGTCAGACAGCCCGGGACCAAATCCTGGCTCTGCAGCTGATCAGTTGTGGGATTTTGGCCAAGTCACTTAACCTCCCGGGCCTCACTCTCCTTGTCTGTAAAGTGCTGGAAATTGGAAATAATAGTACCCATTCATAGTGTAGGAAATTATTTATTCACCCTGACAAATAGCTGTTAAAAGCCCTTACATGGGAAATGTAAATAAAATTGTGCAGCCACTTTGGAAAAATGGTCTGGCGGTTTCTCAAACGTTAAACAGAGAGTAACCATATGACCTAGAAATTCCACTCCTAAATATATACCTGAAAGAACTGAAAACATCTGTCCATGCAAAAATTTACAAATGTTCATTGCAACATTATTTATAATAGCTGAAAAATCCAAACCACCCAATTGTCCATCAGCTGGATAAGCAAAATGTGGTATGTCTATAGAGTAGAATATTATTCAGCCATAACAAGAAATGAAGTACTTATTCTGGAAGAATCTTGAAAACATTATGCTAAATGAAAGAAGCCAGGCATAAAAGATCACATACTATATGACTGCATTTATATTAAATGTCCATAACAGGCAAATCTATTCAGACAAAAAGTAGAGTAGTGGTTGCTCAGGGCTGAGTAGTGACTGCAAACGGGTATGAGATTTCTTCTTGGGGTGATGAAAATGTCCTACAGTTAGATAGTGGTGATGGCTGCACGTCTCTGGGTGGTGCGAACAGTTAAGTACTAGGCTTCTAACCGAAAGGTTGGAGGTTCCATTCCACTCAGAGGTGCCTTGTGAAAAAGGCCTGGTGATCTGTTTCCAAAAAACCAAAACCTATGAAACACAGTTCCACTCTGACACACATGGGGTCGCTATGAGTTGGAAAAGACTTGACTGCAACTGGTTTACCAGGATGGTTGTACAACTTTGTGAATATACTAAAAACCACTGAATTGTACACTTCAAAAAGGTGAATTTTATAGTGTGTGAATTATATCTCAAATAAAAAAAAAAGTTTGCATGTGGCACTTAGAGATTCAATGGTGAACAAGACACAGTCTCTACTCTCAAACAACTCAAAGTCTAGTGGGAAAGAGGCATAGATGAATCCAATAATCCAATACTAAGTATAACTGTAACTAAAGGAAGGGCCATGGATGAATGGTATATGGTGCTATGAGAACATATAATTGGGCAGCGGGGTTTGACCTAGGCAGGAAGTCAGGGAGGCATCCTTCTGGGAGATGTTTGTGCTGTTCTGAGAAGACATATTTCCATGTCAGAACAGGATTTATCAGCCCCAAGAGGAGGAAACAGCATATGCAAAGGACGAAGTCTGAAGCATTTAGGGAACTGAAGCAAGGCCGGTGTGAATGAGGCAAATAGAATCAAGGAAACTTTGGCATGAGACTGCAGCTAGAAAGGTAGATACAGACCTATGATATTCTACCTTCTGAGACAACGAGTGCTCAATACTAATCTCAAATGACCGAAAATCACCTTCCTTCCCTCTAACCTGCTGCTCCTCCATCACTGCCTCTGTCAGTAAAGCACCACCCTCCACCCAGAAGAGCCCTGATGGTGCAGCAGTGAAGCACTCGGCTGCTGTCTTAGTCATCTAGCACTGCTGTAACAGAAATACCACAAGTGGATGGCTTTAACAAAGAGAAATCTATTCTCTCACAGTCTAGGAGACTTGAAGTCCGAATTCAGGGCGCCAAAACCTAATCTTGTAGATTGAGTCCTGCCTCGTTAGCATAACTGCCGCTAATCCCATCTCATCAACATCAGAGAGATAGGATTTACAACACATAGGAAAATCACATCAGATGACACAATGGTGGACAATCACACAATACTGGGAATCATGGCCTAGTCAAGGGACACACATTTTTTTGGGGGGACACAATTCAATCCATAACAGCTGCTAACTGAAAGGTCGAAGGTTCAAACCCACTAGCTGCTCTGTGGGAGAAAGATGTGGCAGTCGGCTTCCGTAAAGATTACAGCCTTGGAAACTCTATAGGGTAGTTCCACTCTGCCCTATATGGTCACTGAGTCAGAACGACAGCAATGGGTTTGGATTTGGGGTCCACCCCATCCCTTAAGCCACAAAACTGGAGACATCAGTTTGTTCCCTCCTTCACTCTCCACATCCAACCCTCCTGCAAGCCTGTGGTTCTTACTGCTATAGGTTGAACTGTGTCCCCCAGTATATGTGTTGGAATCCTAACCCCTATACCTATGGATGAATTCCATCCTGGAATGGGCTTTTCTTTGTTAAGTTAATGAGGCCCTATTGGTGTAACATGTGTCTTAAACCTACAATTTTGAGACATAAAAAGAGCAGACTGGGCACAGAGATGGAAAGATGAATGGGGGAAAGACAGGTAGAAAGGAGATCGCCAAGGAACTGAAGAAAGCGGAGGCTAGAGAAGCTGAGATGAAGATTTTTGCCTCCAGCTGATGAGTCTTCCTCTATAGCCGGTGCCCTGCATTAGGACTCCTAACCTCCTAAACTGTGAGGAAATAAACTCCTGTTGGTTAAAGCCATCACTTGTGGTATTTCTGTTACAGAATCACTAAGAAACCAAGACACCTATCCTCTAGTCTCCGTACATCGCTCTCCCTGGCCACTGGCATCGCCAAAGCCCAGTCACCATCAGCTCCTGCAACCCTTCCACCCTCTGCACATGGCCCCACCATCCAGTCAGAATGATGTGGAAACACAGATTTGGTCCAGTCACTCCCCTTGAAAGGCTTCCTATGACCCTGGGGGAAATGTATAGACCCCCTACAATGGCCCTCGAGTTCTGTGTCACCTGGGCCCTCCATGCTGCTCCCAGCCTCCCTTCTGTCCTCTCTCCTGATGCTTCTGCCATGGTGACTGTAAAAATGGTGTGGTAGCGCCATCTGACGTCCTCTGACTTCATGAGGGGGAGAGAGAATTACCATCAGCATCAGCGCAAGGCTGATTCACATGAGGTGGAAGTCAGACATAGCTCCTCTCTCCATCATTTTTACCAATTCTGACACCATCTCTTTCTCCCACAGTGTGTTCCACTTCTCTGCTTGGTTCGATAATTCACTGCAATGGCCACACAGAGCTCACAGACAATACTCACGATTATGGGGTTTATTAGAGAAGTAACAGGTTACAGTTCAGGTTCAGGAACACTCAGGATACAGTTCTTCGATCAGGACAGCCTCTTCTCAGCCGTGCCCAAAGGCAGGTCTCTCCCTGGCCCTCGGCCTGGCCTTTACCCTACTCGGACAAGTGTTAAAAAGCTCTTTTAGCTCTGCCAGTAAGTGCCCGGGACACCACACTCCAGCCAGTAAGCCTTGGCCTGAAGGTGCCTGTCATGGATTGAACTGTGTCCCCCTAAAATATGTGTCAACTTGGCTCGGCCATGATTTTCAGTATTATGTGACTGTCCACCATTTTGTCATCTGATATGATTTTCCTATGTGTTGTAAATCCTACCTCTATGATGTTAATGAGGTGGGATTAGCAACAATTATGTTAATTAGGCAGGACAATCTACAAAATTAGGTTGTGTCTTAAGTCAATCTCTTTTGAGATATAAAAGAAGTGAGCAGAGAGATGGGGAGCTCATACCACCAAGAAACAAGAGCCAGGAGAATAGTGCGTCCTTTGGACCCCGGGTCCCTGTGCTGAGAAGCTGCTCGACCAGGGTAGATTGATGACAAGGACCTTCCCCCAGAGCTGACAAAGAAAGAAAGCCTTCTCCTGGAACTGGCACCCTGAATTCGAACTTGTAGCCTCCTAGACTGTGACACAATAAACTTCTGTTTGCTGAAGCCATCCACTTGTGGTATTTCTGTTACAACAGCACTAGATAACTAAGACAGTGCCCAGCTCTAGCTTCGTGGATAGGCAAACCTAGCTCCACCAAATGCTTGGAGGCACCCTACTCCACCAGCAAGCCTCCTGCCTGAAGGCGCTCAACTTTCTCGCTTCTTGGGCCGGAAGCTCACTGCCCGGTCTCCTGCCAGTCTCCTGCAGTCTCCTGGTTCTGCTGGTTCTCTGCTGCTGCTTCTTGCCATCTCCAGTATTACAGTTCTTCCTCTGTCTTCTGTGATACAGCTCCTAATCTCTCTCTCAGTATTTCCCTTTAAGCCTAGTGGGATGGCAAAACTGACCAATCTCCTTGTTAGGGTTCCATACACTTCATTTGCATAGCCCCATCCAATCATTTTGTGGGTGTTACTAAGACTGTGGCTAGAAGGGCCGTATTAAGTCATTCATTACACGACAGGCCGCCCTCTGGCTCTTCTAGCCATTGGCTCTTTCATACTTGAAGGATTAACTTCCTCGGCCCAATCACTTTACCAGTCCAAAATAGTCATTAACAATTAGTCCTTTAGTAGAGCAAAAGAGTCCTAAGGGTGAGGTTACTCAGGTACCAGCCATTCAAGTCTGCTGCAGGTTTCCATCTGACCTGGTCAGGTTCTCCAAAAGTCATCTTGGCTTCATCCTCTCTGGCCTCTGATAAAATTTAACTGAGGGAAGATTATTCCCTTACTCTGAGCCTCACGAGGTATTAGCACAGCAAAACGTTTAGGGACTTTAGGTTCAGCCACTGTACCAGCAGTGCCTCCCCCTTAGTCCACTTTTTCACACTTACAACTTCTACAGCTACAGTTTTTACAATCACAATTAACCCTGTTAACAATCAACACTCACAACTGAATCATATAATCCTATCAGCATCTCCCCCTACCCTCTCTTCCCTGGACCCATCAGGAAAAAAGGAATCTATTCAGTGGGGATCCACCCTTGTCCCCTTCGTTTAATGTAAGCACACTCACGAAAGCGTGTAAGCCAGTCACTTCATGCCTTTATCTCCCCCCATTTTAGATAGTCAATTTCTAAATTCCCATCCCTATCAAACCAGTACTATGAGGAGACAACCATGTTCCTTTATCTGAAAAATCTTCTATGCTGGTTGGAACTTTGAGCATCTGCATCCATAAGCAAAGTCCAGTCCAGAGCAAGCCATCAAATTGCAGCAATCTACACCAGCTCACGGTGTCAAACATCTTTCTCTTCATTCGGTCAGGTTCTGGTCAGCTCATCCCTAGCCATCCAAACTTGGTCACAATGGGTACTAGCCGTAAGCTCAGGAGTTCACACACACTTCCCTGCACTTCAGACCAGCCAGTCCCTTCTCTCTCTCTCTTATCCCTAGCCCCCATGGGCTAGGTCAACTGGTGCCAATGCAGCATGTCCATCTCTTCATTGCTGCACTTCCCCCACGTCCACTTATAAGTGAACCAAGGTGATCACCACAAGAGAGTATACCAAGCTATCTATTCACTGGCTCCCTTTAACTTTCAGTCCTGAAAGGGGGTTCTGATGGGCACTGACTTTTCCTGCCTCAATGCACCCAAAGGCAAATCACTTGCTTGTTCAAAATTCAAAAAGCAAAACAGTCAATTTTGTTTTCTGCACGTCTTTCCTTCAAATGCAACTCTTCTGTTCTCTCAGTTCTGGGTAGGTCTGCATGTCTTTTCAAATGCAAAACTTCTGACTTCGAAGGGTTAGGGTGGCACTCAGGAATATAAAGAGCTTCCGTGCTGAAAGGAACAACCCGTGTTTCTTTCGTGCAAATCTTAGTTCCCCTTTTAGCATATCCTATCAAGTTTTGGCTGAAAGTGGAATTACACGTTACCTGCTCTCTGTAATCTATAATACCCAAAATTCATTTCTATCATACATTTAGGTATGTTTTACAACATTAAGTAAGAGAAACATTCAGTATCCATAGTACATTCAGATAAATACATAACCCTTTTCTAAAATATTCCAGTTTCATCTTCTCCACCCCTTGACTATCTTCCCATTTGTATGCATGCTGCCTTGGGCCTCTGACTGGGTTGAACCAGAAGACCTTGGCCCCCTATCAATCATCTTGCTTATCTGGCCTGGCTTTTGCCTCAAGCCATTCCGGATGTGGCTTTTCTCCCCTCAGCTGAAACATAGTATCTCTTACTTTCCTTTCAGCCATTACAGATAACAATCAAAGTAACCATCTAAGAATCAAAGATTTCACTTCCCAAACCCCTTCATTCTTTCTCTTCCTATGTCCCATGCTTCCATGAGTCTGGAGCTACAGTGACAATCCCATTCCTGACACCACCAACTGCAAAAATGGCATGGCAATGGCATCCGTCCCCTCTAACTTCACGAGGGGGAGAGAATCACCATCAGAAGTCTGTGGTCTATGGTCTTGGGGAACATCTAGCTCAATTGGCATAACATAGTTTATAAAAAAAAAAAAAAAGTTCTACATTCTACTTTGGTGAGTAGTGTCTGGGGTCTTAAAAGCCTGTGAGCAGCCATCTAAGATACTCCACTGGTCTCATGCCTTTGCGAGCAAGGGAGAATAAAGAAAAC